TTCAAAAATATACGGGCAACAACAATTCACCATGCATGCTTCATAAAATATTTTTTATTTTTCTTCATGGCCAAGTGAACTGTCAATGACAACAGACGTGTTTTTATATCGCTCCGCCGAGTAACTAAAAATACATCGGAAATATCAGATTTCTATTTCGCGAAATTCGCTCAGGGTACGCGTGGGTACTCCTGCTCATGTTGCCTATATCTAATTGCTAATATAAGTGATATAATACAGTTTTTTCACAAATTTTGCCACGCGCGATAAGCTCAAATAAATGAGCGGCGAGCAAAATAATGAGCGTAGAAGCTCCGTAAACCAAAGAAACGCTTGTTATGCTTATTTCTCAACCCGCGATACCGAAGTAGAGAAAACGTCTACAAAGAGCAACCCGGCCCTACTGACCGTCGAAAGCACGAGAGCCCGCTCTCTATCACCAGCCCTACTCATTCCAACTCCCACATCTTGGAGTTATCAATGCCAGACCCCACCACCACCGGCTTCTATGGGAGACGCACCAACAACAAGCAGTGCTTCAATTTCTACTACCTCAGCAAAAGTAACGGCAACAACTAAAGCAACGACCAATATTGCGAAAACGGTGTCAACGGCTCCATCGCAAACTGCAACAGCAACAAAAACCGTAAGCTTTGATAAGCAACAAGCGGTTTCGGCCATACAGACCGGTATGGATCGCTACATCCAGATAAAGCGTAAGCTTAGTCCGCAGAACACGGTTGGTAACAAACCAAAGATCAACCGTACAATCCAAGCCAAGGAAAGAAACAGTATTTCAAACAACAGCAACCGATTTTCCCTTTTAGCAGATGGCGAGACCCAAGCTGAGCCGGAGCAAGTGACCCAAAAGAAACCAAAGCCCCCACCTATTTACATTAGGGAAAAAAGCTCAAACGCCCTGGTCAACAAAATTGTTGCGCTGGTCGGGGACGAAAATTTTCATGTTGTTCCGCTTATTAAAGGGAACATTCACGAAACCAAAGTTCAGACGAAATATGAAGAACACTTCCGAGCTGTTTCCAAATACCTGGAGGAAACGAAAAAGAATTTTTACACCTACCAACTAAAAAGTAGCAAAGGGCTACAGGTAGTACTAAAAGGAATCGAACCCGACGTCTCCCCCTCTGAGATACTAGAAGCCCTTAAAGGCAAGGGATTCTCTGCTAAGAATGTTAGCAATATTATTAACAAAAATAAAAAGCCGCAACCACTCTTTAAGGTCGAGCTCGAGCCAGACAGCAAAACCCTAAGGAAAAATGAAGTGCACCCGATCTACAAGCTGCAGTTCTTACTGCACCGGAGGATCACAGTGGAAGAACCACACAAACGGAACGGCCCAGTGCAATGTACAAATTGCCAGGAGTTTGGGCACACCAGGACATACTGCACACTTCGGTCAGTTTGTGTAGTCTGCGGAGACTTCCACAATTCCGCACACTGCCCTGCTAACAAAGAAGATCCCCATACAAAAAAATGTGGGAACTGCGGAGGAAACCATACGGCAAACTACATAGGCTGTCTGGTCTACAAGGAGCTGAAGAGTCGCATGCGACAAGCGACAGCTACGCGTCAACAAAATACACAAAACGTGTATTTTAAATCAAAAACTACGCCAGACGTATTTTTCGCCAAGGCAGCCAGATCTTCGTTCGGTCCGCTCAGTACCACCAACGGCATCTCCTACGCTGATGCTCTACGAACGGGCATGGAAAAACCACTCCAGCCACACTCAGAAAACGCTAAACAGGTACCACCCCAGCCGCAAAGTAATTTGGAAACTATGATGTTTACCATGCAACAAAGTATGATGGAGTTCATGTCATTTATGAAAGCGACCATGCAAACGTTGGTCCAGAACCAGAATATGGTGATGCAGCTGCTTGTATCACAGCAGTCCAAATAATAAATGACCAATCTAAGAATATCCATGTGGAATGCCAACGGCATTTCACGGCATAAACTGGAAATAGCTCAATTCCTAAATGCAAATCACATTGACGCCATGTTGCTGGTTGAAACTCACCTCACAAGCAAATATAACTTCCATATACGGGGGTATACCTTCTACCGCACAGATCATCCCGATGGTAAAGCCCACGGCGGCACCGGCATCTTAATTAGAGAACGCATCAAACACCATTTTCACCAAAGGTTTGCAACAAATTACTTGCAAGCCACGTCTATAAAAGTGCAGTCAGGAAACGACAACCTTTGCATCGCCGCTGTCTACTGCCCACCTCGCTTTACAATCTCTGAAGGTCAATTCATGGATTTCTACAACTCACTTGGGGACCGCTTCATAGCTGCTGGAGATTACAACGCTAAGCATACGCACTGGGGATCACGCCTCGTTACTCCCAAGGGAAGGCAACTTTATAATGCACTTATAAATGTGAGAAATAAGTTGGACTACGTTTCTCCTGGTAGCCCCACATATTGGCCAGCAGATCCTAGAAAGATCCCAGATCTAATTGATTTCGCGGTTACAAAAAACATCCCACGCAACCTAATAAGCGCCACGGCCCTACCCGATCTCTCATCAGACCACTCTCCATTGTTGATAACCCTTCTTCAAAGCCCAGATATTACGGACTACACCTACCGGCTGACGTCGCACAGAACTGACTGGATGAAATATAGGAAGTACGTCAGTTCCCACATTGAGCTTAACACCCAGCTCAATATCGAAGAGGACATCGACTGCTCTACCGCCGCCCTGGAAGAGGTACTCGTCACAGCAGCCAGGATCTCAACACCACAACGACATGATGTGAAAATAAAGAAGTTCAAAACCAACCTGCAAATTGAACAGCTCGTTCTGGAAAAGAGGCGTCTGCGAAGGGCGTGGCAAACCAGCAGATCGCCATGCTCAAAGCAACGTCTAAATGAAGCCATCCGCAAACTAAACCGGGTTCTGAAGCAAGATGCCGAAAACGCACAACTGAGATATATCGAGAAACTCTCTCCAACAAGTGCAAAGCATCCTTTGTGGAGGGCTCACCCAAATCTAAGCTCTCCGGCTGAAACCGTCTCCCCGATAAGAAATTCTTCAGGTGGCTGGGCGCGCAGCGACACAGACAGAGCCGAAACACTTGCCTCACATCTCAGGGGCGTCTTCCAACCGAATCCCGCCGCAAGTCCTTTCGTTCTACCGGAAATCCAAACTGAAAGCGAATCCACAATACCATCGTTTCGACCGAATGAGATCACCAAAGTCATCCGAAGGCTAAAACCGAAAAAGGCTCCCGGCGATGACCAAATAACTCCGAAAATGATAATTGAACTTCCAAACTGTGCTATTGAGGTCATCTGTAAACTCTTCAATGGGATCATAAGTCTTGGCTACTATCCAAAAAAATGGAAAAAGTCAACAATTATAATGATACCAAAGGCCGGAAAAGATCACACGATTCCGTCCTCTTACAGACCAATAAGTCTTTTATCATGCCTGTCGAAACTGTTCGAAAAATGCCTTCTAACACGCATTTTACCATATATGGGAGCTCATAACATTATCCCAGCCCACCAATTTGGCTTCAGAGAAAAACATGGAACTATCGAGCAAGTAAACAGAATAACATCAGAGATTCGCACAGCCTTCGAACATAGAGAATACTGCAGCGCGATATTCCTCGACGTATCCCAAGCATTCGACCGTGTCTGGCTCACCGGTCTTATGCATAAAATTAAAACACACTTTCCCGGGTACACTCACAAATTACTCGAGTCGTATCTCTACAACAGAGTCTTCGCAGTGAGGTGCAACACAACAACATCCGAAAACTATAAAATCGAAGCTGGAGTCCCACAAGGAAGCGCACTTGGACCAACTCTATTCGTCCTCTACACAGCGGATATTCCCACGAGCGAGGGACTACTAACATCCACCTTCGCTGACGATACTGCGATCCTCAGCCGCTCCAGATGCCCAGTCCGTGCAACATCCCAATTAGCCAACCACCTCACGGTAGTAGAGAAGTGGCTATCCGACTGGCGTATCAAAATAAACGAACAGAAGTGTAAGCACGTAACGTTTACTCTCAACAGACAAACATGCCCTCCGATTCACTTGAATAGCACAATGATCCCCCAAGTCAACGATGTAACGTATCTCGGCGTCCACCTCGACAGACGTCTAACATGGCGTAGACACATCGAATGCAAGAAACTACATTTAAAATTAAAAGCCAGCAGCCTCCACTGGATTATAAACGCCCGATCGCCCATGTGTCTGGACTACAAGGTACTGCTCTACAACTCCACTCTTAAACCAATCTGGACGTGTGGCTCCCAGCTCTGGGGAAACGCGAGCAAAACTAACATAGACATCATACAGCGCGCTCAAGCAAAGATCCTGAGAACTATCACTGGGGCACCATGGTATATTCGAAACGAAAACATCCACAGGGACCTTGGCATTCTCGCAGTAAAAGATGAAATAGAAAAGCAAAAAGCCTCATACAAGGAAAAACTCTCAGCACACCCAAATCCTCTTGCAAGAGATCTGACTCGGGTTTCCAGAAGAACCCGCCTGCAACGTAACGACCTTCCAACCCAGCCATAATTTGTCAGGGCCATTTTTTACTGTTCCAGTCTATATGACTGATAGTTAGGTTATAGTTTAAGATTTGATACACTTATTGTTAGTCTCGTAAGGAGAAGATTCAATAAATAGAGCAAAGCTACAAAAAAAAAAAAAAAAAAAAAAAATTTTTCTTCATTTTATTGCTGATCGGCCCTATTTTATTCATTCAGTAAATACGTATAGGCCAGATTGCTCCTAAAGTACTCTTATTGAAAAAACACATCTTGGTTGAATTCTTCTTCTCTAAGTGCAACTCTTTTACTAAGCAGCTGGTCGCTGAAGGAGAACTTTAAGGAGAGCCCAAATCAAATAGTAATTTGTCGTTATGCCAAAGCAGTTTAAGCGGTAAAACAATTATTAAATATATTCAACTAAATTTAATGCTATCACTTACCTGAAGTTCCAAGTCCAGAAAAAGTTAAAATCGAATCAAATATTTGCACCATAATACCCTCTTCTTGGTCAGAAATGTTACTTAAACAAAATGGAATTTGTTGTTTGCTAAATGCCCAAAATGAGTGAGAAAAACCTTTATACGTTTCGCCGTGATCTTGAACGTTGGACCCTTGCTCCGACCTCAATTTTTCTAGTCTGTGCTTTGATAAACGCCTTAGGGTGTTTCTTAAAAAGCCTCCTAACTCTTGAGGCTTTTTAACTATATTCAAATCCACTAGTTGTCGCCTACAAAGAACAACATTTTGATATAATCTTAATCTGTCTTCATTGGTAGTTCCTTTAATTTTGTTTGAGCACTCCACAATGTTTAAGATCCAATTCGATAGAGAAGGGTAATAAGAAATAATTAAAGATCCTATCTCATTTTTTTTGCAATGTCTCAAAAACAAAACATTTCTGAGACTCTAAAACTGAATTTCCTTCACGGGAGTTTTTTTGTAATTGATTTACGTTACGATGAAGTGATATAGTAATAAAACTATCACTAGGATCCAACATAATTGATTCAATATCTGTGTACTTAAATTGGTAAATGACAGATTTGTCTTCAGGGTGAATAAACATTATTCCTTCACAATGTATTCCAAGTATAATATTGCTTGCAAAGTTCCAGTATCCCTTGTAAATAACTTTGAACATTGTTGTTCCATAAAGTGGATATTGCATTACGCAACTTAGGTATAAAACTTTAGCTGTGACTTCACTTCTCGAGGACCCATATTGTCGGTGGGCCTGGGCTAAAATTGGTATCCAGAATTCTAGCTCTCTTGTTTTTGATATTCTGCTTGGTAAAAAACTGTTTATATCTGAATAATATTCTGGTTTTGGCTGGTTCGATGGATCTCCTAATGCCACTTGAGCTTGAAGCCCGGCTAATTGAAGAGCCACCTTTTCACTAACCGGGAATTCATCTTTCTGTAATGAAAAAATCGAAAGTAAAAATACATAAAAGTTCACGTTTTAAAATCAAATGACATGTATGAGATGTGGAAAAAAAAGGCTTCTTAAAAAAAAAACTTAGTTTGCATCTAAGCAAAAAAAATAGTATAATAACATGACACAGGTTTTAGCTTCCCTATGTTATTATTCATATATGTATATTAAATAGTGACCCAGCTTATTTTTATACCCATGCAGATTGTATTATAATTTCAGTAAGAAGTTTTAATTACTTTTTACATTGTTTATTAATGATCTTCCATCGATCATTGCGCATTCCCGCGTACTTAAGTACGCGGACGATGTAAAACTGTGTCTGCAGTATAATGAATACTCCCGTCACTCAAACCGTCAAGCAGACCTAAACAATTTTCAAAACTGGTGTCACGACAATTTACTGAAATTAAACAGCTCTAAGTGCAAGCTTATGACGTTTTGTCGGGTCAATCCGCATAATGTCACCTATTCGCTAAGTGGTAAGGCCTTGGAAAGAATAACGCTTGTTGACGATCTTGGCGTCCTCTTGGACCCTAAACTTAAATCTTCTTTTCATATTTCGAACATGGTTAATAAAGCTAGGGGAATGCTTGAATTTATTAAACGATGGTCGAAGGCATTTGAGGATCCTTACGTTACCAAGACTTTATTTATATCGTTGGTCCGACCAATCCTTGAGTATGGGGCACCCGTATGGAGTCCCCAATACGGAGTTCACGCTGATCGTATAGAATCAGCTCAAAAAAGCTTTTTATTCTTTGCCTTACGCCGCCTAAACTGGAATGCAAACCTATTCCTACCCTCCTATCCTAATAGATTGCTCCTTATTAACTTGCCCTCCCTTACTAATCGTAGAACGATGCTTTTTTTTTACTGTATTTATGCATAACCTTATATGTGGTGAAATTGACAGTGCTTACTTGTTAAGTAGACTAAATTTCTCGGTTCCAAGTAGATTTACTAGAAATTATGCTCCTTTAGCTTTAAATCTTTGTAGATCTAATTATGACGTGCATGAGCCTTTCAGGGTACTTTGTTCGGACTATAATAGACTGCATTCTATAGTATCGTCTTCTGACTCTCTGGAGCTCATAAAACGATTAATAGTAACATTTCTGGCACAAAATTAGATCGTTAAATTTAAAATTAAAATAAAATTTAACTTAATTTAACTTTTCTTTCCTTAATTTTTTTTCTTTTAAAAATCGCGTCAAAATGATCACGAATCGTGCCGTACGATACACGGCGGTCGCCCCTCGGTCGGTTGGGCGGGTAGTGGGCCGTGGGACTACGCGCGAAAAAAAAAAAAAAAAAAAAAAAAAAATACAGCTGCATCTCATCTTAGATTTCATAAAGTATATATACTCTTAATCAGCATCACGATCTGATTAAATCACGCACGCATGTACGCACGGTTGCCACTTCAAAAATTTTTAATGAGCCAAAAAAAGATAAAAAATGAGCCAATTTGAATAAAAAAGAGCCAAATTTTTATTTATTATTTTTTTTAACTTTTATCATAAAAAAATCATATACCAAAAAAAAAAAAACAAAAACATCACAACACATTTTTCTGCAATGAAACTAAGGATTATTTGGTAACTTAAGTCATTCTGACATATGTTCAGAGCTACCATACCAGCGGAACAATTTAGTTTCGATCTGGCGCTTTTAGATTTCAGACATTAATCACTTTTATAATCGCACAACAAAAAAATGCATTAATAAAAAAATGAATTCGTTTTTTTTTTAAATTTAAAATATTTTGTATCGCTATTAGCAAAAAAGAGCCAAATTCAATAAAAATGGGCCAAAGAGCCAAAGAGAAAAAAAAGAGCCAGTTTTGGCTCAAAAAAGCCAAATCTGGCAACCGTGCATGTACGTCTCTATGTCTGTAATTTTCTATGTAAACTAGTATCTTAGTATTAAAGCTAACTCGATGAAACTTTACCAAAAATTATTGCACGCAGTATACGAGGTGTGTTCAAAAAGTATCGCGAATTTAGTGTTTTTTCAAAAATTATATATTTATTCATGAATATCTATTTAGTCCCCTTAAAAATAATTCCCATGAGATATTATGCACTTGTGCCAACGGTTTTTCCAATCGAAGCCTTTCGAAAAATCATTTTTTTTTTCTTGTTCAGCTCCTCCTTCGATGCTGTCTTTGTCTCGTCAAGCGTAGCGTTACGTCGTCCTTTTATGGGCCTCTTCAGTTTAAGAAAAAGATAAGTCACAGGGGACCAGATCTGAGAAATACGGTGGCTGCGGCATCATTAGTGTGTTGTTTTTGGCCAAAAAGTCGCGCACAAGCAACGATGTGTGAGCAGGGGCGTTATCGTGGTGCAAAAGCCAATTTTTGTTCTTCCACAAATCCGGACGTTTTTGGCGGATTGCTTTGCGCAAATTGTGCATAACTTGCAGGTATCATAATATTCCTTATTGACCGTTCTTCTCTGTGGCAAGAACTCATGATGCACCACGACCCTGCAATCGAAGAAAACTGTCAGCAAGACTTTCACATTCGTCTGTTGTTGAAGTGCTCAGGCGTCCGGCACGCTCTTCGTCGCTCACATCTTCTAGTCTTTCTGAGAACATTTTCTACCGCCCATAAACGTTGCTTCGGTCCAAGGTAGCTTCTCCATATACCACAGTCGACATTCGGAATGCATCCTCGCACTTAATTTCGTTTTTCGCACAAAATTTGATGCAGGTTCTTTGATCCATTTTTTTTGAAAAGGTAAAAATCGAAGACGAAATTCGCTATACTTTTTGAACACACCTCTTATAAGGATAACCGGTTGAATCGGACGACTATATGGGATAGCTTCAATAGAAGAGAATGAAAATAAATATTAGGTTGTCAAAAAAGTCTTGGGGTATTTTCGCTAGTTGGCGCTGAAAGCGCGTATTTCTTGTTTTATTCGTCGCATCAGGTCATGCTATACCTTTTTGGAAAGCTCATTTCACGCGCTAACACGTGTTTGATTGATTGTCTTTTTTTTTAATTATAGCGTCGCAATCATGGAGCAAAATAAAGAGAAAATACGGCATATTTTACAGTACTACTACGATAAAGGCAAAAATGCATCTCAAGCCGCCAATAAAATTTGTGCAGTTTATGGACCCGATACAGTTTCCATTTACACCGCACAACGATGGTTTCAACGTTTTCGTTCTGGTGTAGAGGATCTGTACTGCCAACAACTGGACCGCTTGAAGACAGCACTCATGCAGAAGAGGCCATCTTTGATCAACAGAGGCCGAATTGTCTTCCACCAGGACAACGCCAGGCCACACACATCTTTAGTGGCGCGCCAGAAGCTCCGGGAGCTCGGATGGGAGGTTCTTTTGCATCCACCGTATAGTCCGGATCTCGCACCAAGTGATTACCACCTGTTTCTGTCCATGGCGAACGCGCTTGGTAGTCTGAAGTTGGCCACAAGAGAGTCCTGTGAAAATTGGCTCTCCGATTTTTTTTGCCAATAGGGAAGCGAGCTTCTAAGAGGGGCATTATGAAGTTGGCATCTCGTTGGGAACGCGTCATCGAACAAAACGGCGCATATTTGACTTGAGTCGCATTATTGTAACCAATTTTATGAACAATTGAAAATTCAATAAAAATACCGCAAGACTTTTTTGACAACCTAATATTAAATATAATATATATATACATATATATAAACTGATATATAAAATACAGGGTGGGCCATTTAAATTTGACCTATTTGGCAACACTGTAACTTTTGACAGCGTCGAAAGATCGTCAAATGTCATACCACGTTGGAAGCGTCAGTCGAAGACAATTGATACCATGGAACAATACACTCCAAAGGAACGCGCTCAAATTGTTCAGCTCTACATTGAAAATAAATTCTCAATTGTGTTAACCCAACGTGCGTTTCGTAAAATGAATAAAGTTAAAAGTGCTCCAGTTAAAAACACAATTAAGTCTTTGTACGCAAAATTTGTAAACACCGGTAATCTAAGTAATGCCAGTCATGTATCCAGGCAACGAACAAGACGTTCTAATGAAAATATCGAAGCTGTACGAGCCAGTATTGATGAGACTCCTACGACATCGACTTATCGTCAATGGTGAGCGTTATCGAGCAATGATAACCGAATTTCTGATGCCTATTATTCGTGAAAATGTCATGGATAACTTCTGGTTTCAACAGGACGGGGCAACTTGCCATACAGCTAGAGCAACAATCGATTTATTGCGAACATTGTTCCCTGGGCGGTTGATATCGAAAAGTGGTGATTTTGACTGGCCCCAACATTACCAGATTTGACGGCACCAGACTTTTATTTGTGGGGTTATTTGAAATCCAAGGTATACGCTAATAAACCAAAAACCTTAAGTCAACTAAAAGACAACATTAGACGTGAAATAGCCGCCATATCGTCTGAAACATGAAAAACCAAAGTCATGGAAAATGCTGAAAAAAGAATGCATTCGGCTGTCAGAGCTAAAGGTGCCCATTTACGTGATATAATTTTTAATAATAATTTGTAAAAAATCTCCTCGGACCAAAATAAATGATTTTTGGAATAAAAAAAAATTGTCCACTTTTTTTGTTTTTGTTTTAAGAATCAAGTGGGTCAACTTTAAATGGCCCACCCTGTATATTTTATGTATATGTACAATATTATTTAAGTTATTGAACCAAGATAACCATAACACAACATTGATTGCAAATATAGATATAATATAACTCGCATGTCATTTATGGTCGGTTATACCCAAAAAAAAGGGTATACTAAAAGGGTGAACAATAAAATTGAACTGCGTCATTCTTTTGCGTAGTGCGTTGACAATTAGTTGTGAAATTACTTAATTTGTGCAACGGGCAGCGGAATCCTTTAAAAATAATGTAAGTGTCGTTAATATTACAAAAATATAATGTTTTCTACTACAAACTTATTTAAATCTTTTTAGGATTCAGCATATAACATATGTTTGATAAATTCGT